CTCTCTCTCTCTCTCTCTCTCCCTCCCTCCCTCCCTCCCTCCTCCTCTCCCTCTCTGTCTCTGTTTCTGTCTCTCTGTCTCTGTCTCTTTCTCTCTTGAGTGTGTGTGTGTGTATCTCACGCACACACGCATGCTAGATGTCTGGTTGTGACTCTCTGTATTTGTACCCATCTGCCGCTGCATTAGGAAGTTTTTCTGATGATGCCTAAATGAGGCACTGATCTATGGATATAGCGGAATATCATTAGGAATCACCATCATTGTTTGTTTGTTTACACCAGTAGTATTTGAATTTACCCTAGATTTCTGTGCTATCTAGTCTTGGTCACACAAGTGGTGTCAGGTATAGGTTCCATCTTATGGAATGTACCTTAAATCAAATCAGACATTGGTTGCCTACTCCTGTGTAGGCATAATGTTTTTGTACACTGTACAAAATTTACCCTTGTGTTATTCAAATGCTGATATCTCTGCCCTCATATCTTATTTTAATCCAGACACAGCACTGTAATGCTTATACCAAGAATCTCCTGAAGAGTCAGGACTGAGTTTCTGTCTCACCTATTATTTAGAGACCTCATAGGCTCTTCTGCATATATTTTAGGAAGTTTCCACTGACTAGGTTTCCATCCAACCTCTGTAATGCACATCAGTTCTAGCTGTCTCTCCCAGCATTCACTCCACATTCTCACCTAATCCTCACATTCTATTACCCCCTTACCTTCAGTCCCCCCATAAAATCGATTTGATTTTCCCATCCCAGGAAGATACATGTACCCCCAACCCCAGACCTTTCCTCTGTAACTGACCTCACTAGTTCTATGGATTGTAGCTTCATTATCATTTACTTAAGAGCTAATGTCCACATATAAGTGAAATCATATTACATTCATCTTTCTAGGTCTAAGTTACCTCACTCAAGATGCCTTTTTTCAGGTTCCATCCATTTGCCTGCAAATTTCATGATGTCCTTTGTTGAGTGGCTAGTACTCCATTGTATAAATGTACTACATTTTCTTTATCCATTCTTCTGTTGTGGGACATCTAGGGTTTTTTTCAGTTTCTGAATATTACAAATAAAGCTGCAGTGAACATGGCTGAACAAGTGTCCTTGTGGTAGGATGGAGCATCTTTTGGATATATGTCAATATGCCCAAGAGTAGTATATTTGGATCTTGAGGTAGATCCATACCCAACCTTCTTGAATAACTGCTATATTGATTTTAATAGTGACTGTACAAATTTGCAATCCCACCAGCAATGGATGAGTGTTCCCCTTGCTCTACATCGTCACCAGCATGAACTCTCATTTGTTTGATTCATCTTAGCTAGTCTAACAGTTGTAAGATACAATCTCAAAGTAGAGTTTTTTTCATGAACCATTCACTTTATTGTTTTGTAGTAAGACACAGAGCTTTGACCATGCAGACTTCCTCAGGAGCTGCTACAGACAGACAGCTGTTAGCAGGTTACAGGTGACCATGGAAACCAAACAAGGGAGGCTACACATGACGCCTTCATTTTCTCATACATGAAATCTGGTGTCTGTTCTCACCAGCCAGCCAGGGTGCTCTCCCCCACTCCTCCACCCCCGCCCCCCGTCTGTGCTCTCCCAATGATCACATCCTAAGGCTTTATAGTGTACTCCCTTGGCCCAGGAATCCCTGCTCATTCACTTCCTGCCATGATGGAGATCGCACTCAGTCTATGAATGCTAGGCAAGCACACTATCACCCAGCTATGCCTCCCAGCCCCCTGGCTAGTCTGCATCAGTAACATTATAGTTAAGATACTAATAGTCAGTTCAAGGGACCAACTTAAACAGGACATAATTACTCCCATGTACCAACTTCAAGACAGAATAGTCCTGCCCAGACCCCCTCAACCTCACTGTTCTGTCTCCTCCTCCTCCTGCTACTCCTCCTCCTCCCCCTGCGCCTCCTCTTCCTGCTATTCCTCTTCCTGCTATTCCTCCTCCTGCTACTCCTCCTCCTCCTCCTCCTCCTCCTCCTCCTCCTCCTCCTCCTCTTCCTCCTCCTCCTCCTCCTCCTGCTCCTTCTTCTCCTTCTTCTCCTTCTCCTCCCGATTACCACCACAACTGTTCAGGGTGTATCCACTGTACCTACTTCACACCAAGGCTCAGGGGTTAGTCAGTTCCACTTCTTTGACTGTGACTCAACCATGCAGGAATTTCCCATTCTGTTCTTAATGATGTTTAAAAAAAAAAAGAACAAAAACATTCAGGAACTTAATATACAACAGTCAAGTAACAGTGAGGTTGTTGCAAATGCTTTTCAATGTCAGAAAAGCTTACTTCGAAATTAAAACTAAAAAGTACTGTAAACGTGTACCAGTAACAGCTACTGAGAACAAGACAAAGACAGTTGCATGGCACTCACACACGAGAATCCTGCCTATCGATTTAGTAGGATACTGTACCAAGAACTGCAGTTTTATCTCCCAAAGTTGGTAGATCCATGCTGGCTTCTGGAAGCTTCAATGTCAGGCCCACTGGACGGACGAAGATGAGCTCAGGGCATGCTTAGCAGACAAATATCACAAGACTTACATAGGTGCCACTTGAGGGAAGGAGGAATCAAATGTGAGTCTCTGCAGTCAAATAAATAGAATCCTCCAGTAGGAAAAATTATTACCACATGACATTCTGCTTTGCATTAGGCAATAGCTAAGATTTTAATCTGTGGAACTCATCTCTGAGAAACAAAAATATGACATGACTTAATATAAAATATACACATTTCTCAGTATGAAGACCCACAGAACAAGAAGGCAATTGACAACCAAATGGATTTCTTTAAAAAAAGAAAAAAATCCTTTTTGTCCTTGAAAATCAATGCTCAAAAACAAGCCTGTCCACAAGCAGGAGCCTGAGAGGACTGCAGACTGGAAGGCCTCAGGGCCTGCTCCACACTGTCCTTGCCACAGTTCTCTTCTAACGACACTGAGTTTCTGGGTCCACTGGAGGTGAGTGCCAGCCTCCCAGCATCGCCCTTCCTTTGCCAAAGATGACTACAGGTCACTCGCTGTCAAACTTGACGGAATTGACCCGGACAGAGATGGAGCCTCCGCGGTAGCTGCCTCGCTTCTTCTTGGTTTTTTCATGCCGGAAGGACTTGCCTTTGGTGAACTTCAGAACCTGATTGGCTCGCTCACCCCAGTCTCCAGCTGCACCTCGCTTGGCATCAAAGGAATTGTCTGCTACTCGAGAGTCCACCACAATCTCCTCCTCCCGGACCCTTCGGAAAGGGGAAGATGCCCTTTTTTCTCCCTTCTTCCTTTTTGGAAATGTACTGGGAATCTGGAGCTTAACTTTCTTAGGCTGAGGTGTTGTTGCTTCATTTGCTGTCTCATTCTGCTTCCGTTTCTTGCCTAAACCTGGCTTGGTCCCGGCTGTCTTTTTCTTCTCTTTTGTTTCTTCTCCCTCCTCCTCCTTACTTTCCTTGCCTGCTTTTCCTTTCTGAGAAGCTGGAGTGACATTGGCCTTGCTTGCCTGTGATTTAGGAGTAACCATGCACTTGGGCTTCTTTTTCTCTTCACTGGAATCTTCAGAGGAGGTGCTGCTCCTCTTGGCTGCTGTTTTCTTCACAGGGGCTGGTTTGGGACCGGCTCCACCTATTGCCTTCTTCTTAGCTGGGGGCTTAGATGTCTCCTCCGCCTCTTCACTGCTGGAACTATCTGAGCCCGAGCTGCTGTCCCCGCCAGCCTGAGGAGTCTGTTTGGTGGGGGCTGCTTTAGCCGTCACCTTGGCCTTGGGGGTTGTCACACTTTTCTTGGCGGCCTCTACCTCGCTGGAGCTGCTCTCCTCGCTGGAGCTGCTGTCGGCCTTCCTGGTCTGAGGTTTCTGGCCACTGCCTGCAGGTTGCTTAGGAGTTGCCACTGCCTTTGCTGCAGATGGCTTGGGAATGACAGCTGGCTTGCTTAAGGGACTCTTGGTGGTACTGACTGGCTTGGCAGGAGCTTCATCCTCAGAACTGTCAGAATCTGAGCTGTCTGAAGAGCTCTCTGCTTTCTTCGTCGCCGGCGCTGGTTTGGCAGGTGTCTTGGAGACGACCACCTTAGCTGGAGGTTTTTGCTCTTCCTCAGAACTTGAATCAGATTCATCACTGCTGTCTCCACTGCTGCTTGCAGGCCGCTTCTGCGCAGCAGCTTTCTTTGGAGTCTGGGCTCCTGAGGACTTCTTTGGTAAAGGAACAGAAGGCGGTGGAACTGAACTGTAAAGACCTGCTTTTTTCTTCATGGGTTTTTTCTGTTCCTCTTCCTCATCACTGGAAGAATCATCACTGCTAGAACTCTTTTGGGTAGGGGTGGCAGCTACTTTCACTGGCACCTTGACCACGACTTGCTTTTTCGGTGCAGTCTTCTTAGGAAGTGCGGCTGCCTTCTTTTCCTCCGCGTCATCGCTGCTGCTGCTGCTGTCACTGCTGCCGCTGCTGCTGCTGCCGCTGCTGCTGCCGCTGCTGGTGGCGGCGGCGGCGGTGGCGGTGGCGGTGGCGGCGACTGCTTTGCCATTGGCTACTTTAGGCCGTGCTTTCGCTGGTATACCTGGTTTGGCTGGGGCTTTAGTCTGAGCTTTAGCTGCCACAGCTGCCTTTGGCTTCTGGGTCTGCAGTGCTTCATCCTCTGAGCTTGAGTCAGACTCGGATGCAGAGCTCTCTGCCTTCTTCGGGGGAGGTCTGACTGCCTTGGCTTGGGGCTTAACTGCTTTCTGCAGGACAGGCTTTTTCTTTGTGTCCGTTTCCTCCTCTTCATCACTGGATTCTTCACTACTGCCGCTCTCTGGCGCTTTGGCTGCTGCCTTCCCAGCACGCTGAGGCACACTAGCTCGCTTGGCAGGTGCGGCAGCCTTCTGTGTGGGAGGTCCTTGGGCTTTGTCCTCTTCCTCACTGTCGTCCTCACTGCTGTCACTGGATGAAGTCTCTCTCTTAGCCTTCTTGGTCACTGGTCCATTTGACTGTAATTTCACCTTTGGGGCTTTGGTGGACTTGAGCCAGAAGCTATAGATGTCCAAGAGGGAAGAGGCATTGGGGTCTTGCTGTGTAACGCCGGTCGCTTTTGCAAATTTACTGGCCACCTCCGAGAGTTGGCTATCTCGCAGAAAGCCGAGCACAAGGGGATAAAGGTCGCTAGGAACCGCGCGGCGCAGGCCGGTATCCGCCATCCTCCTGGATAAAGCGAAAGCCTGTATCCTCCAGTCTCTGGGTAAATCACGTCACTACGGTTGCGCAGGCGGCTCGACTTAAGAACTCCAAAGCACAACCAGGGTAGAGGGCGGGCCCAGTGTCGTCATCACGTCACGCTGCGTGCAGCGGAACAGTGGCCTCAAAGTAGTTTTGATTTGCATTTCACTGATAGCTAAAGATGTCGTACATTTCTTTAAGTGTTTCTCAGACATTTGAGATTCCTCTGCTGAGAATTTTCAGTTTAGATCTGTGCCCCATTTTAGTTGGATTATTTGGTTTTCCGATATCTAGTTTGAGTTCTTTTTATATTTTAGATGTGAGCACTCTGTCAGATGTAGAATTGGTGACAATCTTTTCCCATTCTGTAGGCTGCCGATTTGTCCTATTGACAGTGTCTTTTGCCTTACAGAAGCTTTTCAGTTTCATGAGGTCCCATTTATTAATTGTTGATCTTAGAGCCTGTGCTATTGGTGTTCTGTTCAGAAAGCTGTCTCCTGTGCCAGAGAGTTCTTGTGGTTTGTGTCCATGTAAATTATCTAATATTTATGCTAATGGACACAGAGTGGCATAAATGGAGATAAAAAAATCTGCTAGCTCTGTGAGATAATTTTATTTTCTTAACTATACACAAAATGTCGGTTTACAAACCAGATTCTCCAACTAAACTGCTAGCTCTATAGCGATCTTTATCTGTATCTACCTTTCTCGTGAGCTCTGCCAAACCCAAGAAGGTTTCCTTGCTCTCTTTCTGCCAGCTGCTTCCCTGTTTTTCCTGTAAGTCCAAAAAGAATCCTTATCCTTCTATGAAGCCTCTTCCAAGCTAAAAGAGCGAGAACTCTCAAAGGTCCAATTGCCATAAAAGAAGTTTCTAGCTCCTCCCCTACACCCTTGCAAGACTGAACCACATCACTGTCATGGTAGGGGTGAGGGGGCTCTCTAAACCAAGTTCAGTAGGGGCTGAACAATTTCACCTTTAGAGCAAAGAGCATAAGACCTCTCCCAAGCAATTTGCCTTAAAATAGGCAGGAACTTTGTATTATTCCATTATTGGGTATTTTTGCACCAATGTTCATGAGGGAAAATGGTCTGGATTTCTTTTTCTTTGTTGAGTCTTTGTGTGGTTTAGGTATGAGAGTGACTGTGACTTCATAAATTGAATTGGGAAATGTTCTTTCTGTTCTCCAATTTCAAGAGATGAGACACCCTCTTCTGGTCTCTTCGGAGGCAGGCACATGGTGTACATACATGCAGGCAAAATACCCATACATATAAAATAAAAATAAATGTTTTACTACTAATAATGAAAGCTATATAAGGCAAGTCATATGGCATAGAAACTAGGTAGAATGATGATTGCAAGAGCTGTGACTTGAAAGGTAAGAAAACACTGAGAAGATGCTACAAACTTTTAGTTATTAAATGACTCACATTATTAATGCTATAGATTTGCTGAGCAGTGGTGGTGTTCACCTTTAATTCCAGCACTTGGGAAGCAGAGGCAGCTAGATCTCTGTGAGTTTGAGACCAGCCTGGCCTACAGAGTGAGATGTAGGACAGCCATGGTTATAGAGAGAAACCTTTTTCTTGAAAAACAACAACAACAACAAATAAACGTAAAGGTAGTAACAGTTAATGATGATGATGGTGATAATGGTGATGATGCTATGTACTTAAAAGCTTGTGTGGGGATTTTAAACAATTTCAGAATACATGTGCAAAGAAAGATGACAGAATACCAGACATACCTTTAATCCCAGTAGAGGAAAGTGGATTTCTGTGGGTTCATGGCCAGCCTGGTTTATATAGCAAGTTCCAGAAGAGCTAGAACTCCATAGAGAGACCATGTTTCAATGCTCCCCTCAAAAAGGTAATAATCCACTAATTTGATTGTGTCAATAATTGCATATTGTATATCGAGCAATCACATTGCATTCCTGAAATATGTATAATTTAGTTATTATTATACTCAATAAACCTGGAAAAATAATTAAAATGTAACAGACTAAACACACACACACACACACACACACACATTTATAGATGCCTGTAAATGTACAATAAACTTACAGAACCTCAAACAGATTGGAACAGAAAAGAAAATCCCTTGCCACAATAATCATCAAAACAATAAATTACAGAAAGACTATTAAAAGCTGCAGACCTATCAGAATTACACCTGATTTCTCAACACTGACTCTAAAAACCAGAAGGGTCTTGCAAGTGTCTTACAGTCTTCTCAGAAATCACAGATGCCAGCCCAGACTACTATACCTGGCAAAACTTTCAATAACTGTCGACAGAGAAAACAAGCTATTCCATGACAAAACCAAATTTAAACAATATCTTTCCACTACTTCAGCCCAACAGAGGATACTAGAAGGAAAACTCCAACCCAAGCAGGTTAAGTATATAATGAAAACACAGGAAATAATTTCACCTACTATCACCACCACCATCAAAATGACAGGAATTAACAACTCTCCAGTAAAAAGACATAGGCTAACAGAATGGATGAGAAAACAGGATCCATCATTCTGCTGCATACAAGAATCATACCTCAGCAACAAGATGAACATTACCTCAGAGTAAAGGGCTGGAAAAAGATTTTCCAAGCAAATAGACCCAAGAAGCAAGCTGGTATAGCCATTCTAATATCCAGTAAAATAGACTTTTAACCAAAAGTAATCAAAACAGATGGGAAAGGACACTCCCTACTCATCAAAGGAAAAATCAGCCAAGATGAAGTCTCAATTCTGAATATCTATGCTCCAAATGCAAGGGCACCCACATTTGTAAAAGAAATTTTTCTAAAGCTCAAAACACACATTGACCCCCACACAATAATAGTGGGAGACATCAACATCCCACTCTCACCCATGGAAAGGTCATTAAAACATAAATTAAAGAAAGACAATGAAACTCATGAACCACATGGATTTAACAGAAATCTTCAGAACCTTCCATCCAAAAACAAAACAATATATCTTCTCAGCAGCTCACGGAACCTTCTCCAAAATTGACTATATACTCAGACACAAAGCAAGCCTCAAAAGATACAAGAAGATTGAAATAACCCCATTCATCTTATCAGACCACCATGGGTTAAAGCTGGACTTCATCAACAACAGAAGCAACAGAAAGCCTACAACTCTGGTGAAAACTGAACAACTCTCTACTCAATGATAACTTTGTCAGTGAAGAAATAAAAATTTTCTATAATTCAAAGAAAATGAAGACACAACATACACAAACAAACTTATGGAACACAATGAAAGCAGTGGTAAGAGGAAAGTTCATAGCATTAAGTGCCTTTATAAAGAAATTAGAGAGACCTCATACTGGAAACTTTTTATTGGTTATTTTATTTATTTATATTTCAAATCTTGTCCCATATTCCCGGTTTCCCCTCTGCAAATCCCCTATCCCATTCCCCCTCCCCTGCCTCTGTGAAGGTGCTCACCCACCCACCTACCCACTCCTGCCTCACCAACCTAGCATCCCCCTACGCTGGAGCATGAGCCTTCACAGGACCAAGGGCCTCGCCTCCCATTGATACCAGGTAAGACCATCCTCTGCTACATATGCAGCTGGAGCCATGGATCCCTCCATGTGTACTCTTTGGTTGGTGGTTTAGTCCCTGGGAGATCCGGATAATCCAGTTAGCTGCTATTGTTCTTTTTATGAGGTTGCAATCCACTTCAGCCCCTTCAGACCTTCCCCTAGCTCTTTCATTGGGGTCCCCGGGCTCAGTCCAATGGTTGGCTGCAAGCACTTGCATCTGTATTGGTCAGGCTCTGGCAGATCCTCTCAGGGGACAGCTATACCATGCTTCTGTTAGTAAGCACTTCTTGGCATCAGCAATACTGTCTCGTTTTGGTATCTGCAGGTGGGATGGACTCCTAAGTGGGGCAGTCTCTGGACAGCCTTTCCTTCAGTCTCTGCTCCACACTTTGCCCCTGTATTTCCTTTAGACAGGAACAATTCTGGGTTAAATTTTTGAGATGGGTGGGTGGCTCCATCACTCAACTTGGTCTGTGCCTATCCACTAGCAACTTAACAGCACACCTGAAACCTCTAGAACCAAAAGAAGCAAACATAGCCAAGAGAAGTAGATGGCAAGAAATTATCAAACTCAGGGCTGAAATCAATAAAATAGAAACAAAAACATACAAAGAATTAATGACAATTAATATAAACAATGTAAATACATTTTCCTGATGTAATTGTCCTTTCGGAGGTTTACTGTCCTGGTCTGCTAAGCTAGGCCTAGTCCTGGAAGCTTCTAGCCTCCGTGCTATCTAATCTAGGCCTAGAATATTTTCAGCCTCTAAGACTTACTGCTGAATAAGCTCACCCTTTCTAGTTTTTTCTTAATTCAGAAGGCTGGCCAACTCAGCTGTTCTGACTCAAACTCCTCTCCAAGCTGACTGATTGAACCTAACTTCTCTGTTGGCCTCTCCTGAATTCTACTGCTTGGCCTCAAATTAACTCTGGCAATATGTTCTAATCTTCTGGCTCCTACTCACTTTCTGACTAATTCTGTTTTACCTGTGTTCAGTTTGTTTTCTCTTTAACCGGTCTCTGTAAAACTGCCCGCTTCTTTCTCTGTACAACCCCTTAAGTGATTTCCCTTCCTCTCTCTTCTTGTGAGTGTTGGCCATATCCTATTCTGTCAAATCTTTCTCTGATTCATCAATTTGTCTGCCAATCAGTTAGACACCACTTTCAAACATGAATACTTCCTTCTACAAACTTTAACTTGACAATTTGGGAATGAAAGGTTTGTACAATTTTTTTACAGATGGTGAAAGAGCAATTCTCAACTTCATATGGAAAAACACAAAACCCAGGATAGCTAAAACAATCTGGGACAATAAAAGAACTTCTTGAGGAATCACCATCCCTGACCTCAAGTTGTACTACAGAGCAATAGTGATAAAATACACATGGTAAATAGTGATTAAAATGCACAAAAGTATACAGGTTGATCAATGGAATAGAAGGCCTAAAAATAAACC